CAATTTCTGGTGGTTTAGGACTGTAGGGACTCGGGTTTACGGAAACCACCACCTGCCTCCAACCGGACCCAGCCCTGTGCCCCCAACCCGCCGGAGCACTGCCCCAACCGCCAAATCCCAAAACCAAAAGACCCTTAACCTCAACCCCTCTTCTCTGGCACCTAAACCCTGTTTCAAGCATGTGGACTACGTAGATTCGAGCTTAAGCCCGTCCTTCTCACCCGAAGTGGGGCCTGCAGCAGAGCGGCCAGCACACAGATCGCGAACGAGGCAGTGGCGCGATGCGGCCGGCACGGCACCATGGGCTCGAACCCTTAAATCCTAGAAACCCTTAGGCGGTTCAGGCTTTGGGGTCTATTGTGGAGTGGACTTCAATTTCTCCCATTTGCAATCTAGAGACTCGAGGACCCACGCCCATGCGGTTTTGGGATGCCGGGGGGTTGAAGTCGTAGCTAGGCGGCTTGTAGAAGTTAGGGCTTAAGGGGCCGTAGGGCTTGCTATGGCTTGCTATTGGGTCTAGCGAGTCTAGCTAGCATCTTTGTGTGTCCAGGTTTTTGGAGCTGCGAATTTTCCAACTTTCCGGGGCTTGATCTGAAACTCCCCCCCCGCCAGGATCACCTGACTTGCGCCAAACCCTTAACCTGAACGAAGCCTACATGCCCATCTTCCCGCAGTTCTGTTCATGCTTCACCTAATCATTTTGTCAGAGACTGCGTCGTGCGCATGGTAATCTGCGTCACCTTAAGGGGGGTCACGTAGCTGCTCAGCAGCTCCGGTGCTCTGCTTCAAAATGAACACCGTGCTTGCATGTCAGAGGGACCTCCTGCGTGATTGCACCGGGGAACGTTCTTCATGAGAAGACTTCCGGCGCCATGCTGCTCAGCAGCTCCGGTGCTTGCTTCAAAATGAACACCGTGCTTGCATCTCAGAGGGACCTCCTGCGTGATTGCACCGGGGAACGTTCTTCATGAGAAGACTTCCGGCGCCATGCTGCTCAGCAGCTGCGGTGCTTGCTTCAAAATGAACACCGCGCTTGCATCCCCGCCTGCGCGACACCTCCTGTGTGATCGCACCGGGGAACCTTCTTCATGACAAGACTTCCGGCGCCAGCGCGGCCCCAGTCACGCTTCATGAATCACTTCTAGCGTGTTCCGGCGGCCCGACGACACTCGCACTGTTTGAGCCTCCGACGACACCTGCGGCGCGTCACCTACGATAGTGGTGGCCTAATGCCTCAGCACTGGTTGGACGAAGCTTCATAGAGGCTGGGCATGTCCTGTGACCCCATTACCTCAAGCATGGCGTCCATCAAGTCTCACGCAACCGGGCGCAGGAAACACGACACAGCACGAAGTTTCATGGCACTTGAACGCCTTGGCTCCACGGCCCACCAGGGTCCCTTCGCAAATCCACTTCTCGCAGGCAACGCAGCCTGAACACTGCCTGCTTCAAGGCAAGGCGGAAGTCCAAGCTGAGCCTACAAGACTGGCCTGGCAATCTGAGGCGTGTCGTGCGCGGGCACCACGGCTTGAAGCACTTCAAGCTCCTCAGTGCCATCGCAGGCGAGGCTCCGGCCCGACATTAGCTCACGACACTGCCCGAGGTTCGGAGCCTAAGAGGCTTGAAGCAAGCTTTCAGAGAGATGCGACTGCAGAAAGCCCTTATTGACAGGACCTCACAGGACAAAGCACCACGTAATATCGCAGCATATCGCAGCCACGTGCGGAAGGCCTGCACGTCGGAGTCCAGAATTGCTCAGAGTTGCGCTGTGGGGCCTGCGCCTCGCTGCTCAGGGCCTCAGGGCCCCGTCTTCCAGAGAACTCGGGACATGGTGCCAGGCATGATGTCCTGCTCCCCTCTTCGGCAATCTCCCACTGGAGGGGGCAGCGCAGGAGGTGCACAAGGATGAGGTGCAGGAGGCGCAGGAAGCAGAGGCGCTGCAGAGGGCACAGCAGGTGAAATAAACCCGCGCCCCACAGACTAAGTGCCGAGACCCCCAAACAGGCCGCTGTCTGCCGGAAGGCTCAGACGCACAAGGGCATTTACAGCTCGGGTCTGGGGCTCCCTCCTATCTCACATGCTCGAGTCAAGACAGTCAAGATCTTAGGGTTGCACGTCACCAGATTGTCCTCTGAAAAAGACGCCCCTGAGCGATGGTGCCAAAAGCAGGCAGCAAGGTAATTAGCAAGAGCTAAAGGGCTTAGGCCTTAGAGCTTCTGCTGGGCCGGCCGAAGCACGTCTGCTGCTCAAGTACCCTGGCAGTCTGGACACTGAAAGCCCGGAGCTTCACCGGAAGCAGTGGGGACAAGCAGCAGCTAGCTTGGGATCTTTCTACTGTGCAGACTAGCTACTTTTGCAAGCAATGTCGCCGAGCGCCTCATACAGATATCAGCGGTCTCAGCCTCCCTTTTGCCGGGACGGCGCGACTAAGGCTTGCCCCCGACAGGATTGTGGTAGCGGCAGGAATAGCATGAAAACATCTCTCAAAGCGTTGGCCTGCGCACCGAGCGCTCAGCGAAGCTCAAACCGATTGCTCGCAGATCGACCAAAACTCACGAAAGAAGAGAGGCTCATGGCTTCCAGGAGCGAGCGCGCATCTGTTGGATGCCTCAATGCAGGCTGCGCAGCAAGCCATTTGGCAGCCTGCGGCCGCGTGCTTACCCAAGGTAGTCGAGAAGTTGCGAAAGGCACATCTGAGAGAACCGATCCATCTAACTCTTTCAAAGCTGCTGCTCGCGACGGCCTTCCAGTACCCAAGCGAGAACCCGGACCGCACACACACTGCCAGCAAGGGGAGCGCACATCCTTCCGGCGCAGTGGGCAGTCCTGGCCTTGCGGGGGACGAACCGACACTAGCGTGCTGCCGCAAACCTCAGGGCCGAAACCTCAGCCCACTCAGCTTGCTCCCAAACTGAGAGCGTCTGCACCGTGTCTCGGATAGCAGATTGCGAGGGCGGCAGCCGGACATCATCCTGGCTTCCTTCGAAGCCAAAGCTCAGCAAGCGTTGACATCACGAAGGGCGCGGCCTGTCATGGGCCAAGTGCAGACACAAAGAACTGCAGGGGTCTGCAAGATGCGTCACCTGAACCATGGAACAAGATGCTACAGGCTTTTTGACAAGCAGCTTAGAGTCTAAGAGCAAGAGCAAGGATGCACCGACCGAGAAGCTGCCATGCCTCCATCATTCAAAGGGGAACCAAGCAGGGTTTCAGGCTGTTGCATCATAACAGAATCATAACATCCTTCATGGGCCAGTCTGCCATTGGTCCGCGTGGTCCGGCAAGCCTCTTCCTCCGATTTTTTCCCCACCGGACCGGGCCCTGCAGCCGAGGCCGGACGTGGTGTAGCCTGCCCACTCTAAGGCCTGAACTAAGATCAGGCGACCAGCCCCCATGCAACACCTTGCTCTGGCATTGAACCGAGAAGGCGATCCTATCCCGTGAGCAAAACGGCTTCATGAGACCATCATGAAGGCATCACTTTGCAATCTGTCCTCCATCTGCGCTGTGCAAACAACAGAAGACCGGATGAAGGACTTTGAGCTTACTTCCTTCTGCAGCTTGGCTGGCTTCTTGTGGGAGACATCACCCACGGCGCTCAGCAAGGGGAAGCCAAGAAAGTTATTGCCAAAGCATTGTCGGATGTCGAGTCGCCGGCTTCTTCGGCCGAAGGCGCTCGGGTGTGGGCACTGCTTTCAAGATTCTGCGAGCAGGCATGCGCACAGGACCAGCAGTGAAGAAGAAGACGAAGAACATCCACCCTCCAGAATGGCATTCAGCGCAAGTGAGGCCATGTGGCAAAGTAGATTAAACTTCGTAGAGCCCATCTGAGGACCTAGGTACGTGGGTGTGGGTGTCTTGCCATCCAGCTCATTGGGTCAGGCAGTACCATGCATCAGCCCTATTCAGACTTCAGAGGCAGGACTCGGCGCGCCTCGACAGAACCGGAAGCCTCCCAGAAACATACATGCGTGACATGCACAGCACTCGCAGGCTTGGACATGCGACTATGTGACGGCCCAACGGGCGTAGCGCAATGCACAAACTGTCTGCTGTCGTTTGGCAAAAGGCCGAACCGGCCCCGTGTGATCTGGGTTGCGTCCGGAAGCCTGCAAGCTTTGTCACGTTCGCCTGCCATCTCTCAACTGCATGTACATAACGCGTGAAGTCTGGATGTCTGCTGCTCAGGCATCCTGCGCAAGATGAGCAATGCAAAGAGTCCACGTGCTGCCGCTTGGTCCCTCGGCGGATGAAGGCACTGCATGTGAAGATCCGCAAGCAGGCAGGCGCACAGGACCATCGGCTTGACATTCAGCGCAAAAAAGGCCATGGACAACGGGCCAAACCTGCCCAAACCCGCCCAATGTGAACTGGCTTGCTTCCTCAAGCCTGAAAGCTCTGCCACACTCATCTGCCATCTCTTAACTTCAGGCTACTCACATGTGACGTCTGGATGCCTGCTGCATGCTGCGGGCAGTGCTCAGGCATCGTGCACAAGATGAACGATGCAAAATGTTCACGTTCTCTGCCGAAAGCATTCGCACGAGTGGACACTGGCACGCGCACAGGACCACAGGCAGCATGACATTCAGCGTTACAAGAGGCTAGGTTAACTCACATCTTTGCAGGTGAAGTCACATCTCCCCAGCGACACGCGTCTGCGAGCGAAGTCACATCACCCCGCGCAAAGTCGCATCACAGAGACATATGTTGAAGCCTTTCCCCCAAGGTGCACACGCCGCACGCGCATGTTCTCGACACACATGCAAAATACACACTTGTCACCGCACGCCTGGGAGGGGAGCACATTTTTGTCAGCGTGAATGAGATTTCTGCTTGGGGGTGCAAGTGGGTTCTGACCAATCTTGGAATTCGCGAATCGCCAGTGTGCACGCGCCCGAGATACGACTTTACAAAAGAAGATACGACTTAACCTACCCTCTTGTAGAGCAGCCATTTGGCAAAGGGTGGGTTGCTTGCGAAAGCCTGCAAGCTTTCCCATGCTCGTCTGCCATCTCGTCATGGTAGCTCGGCCGGTTTCCCCTTTGGTAAGCGACATGAACTGCATCCGGGACTCAGAAAACCGAGGAAGCACGCTGAGCCACGCTGAGTCACCGGGATATGTCAGCTGGGCTGCCGACCACGCAGAACCAGCTGCGAAGAAGAGGAAGAAGAGGAAGAAGAGGAAGAAGAACATCCACCCTCCAGAATGGAAACCCGCGCTTCTGGCATTTCACACCTCTGAGCTTGGGGATGCACCTGGGAAGCTTGCAAGGGGCGACGCGTGCACACCTCGGTGACCTAACCAACTTGACCCAGACCTAGAGCCGAGAGAGCGCGCGTTGCACAGGGCAGCGCGGCAACGCTGGGGTTCTAAGAAGGGAGGAGGCTTCTCGGGCTAGCATTCAGAGAGAGGTGGGCTCCTGCCAATGAACGGCCATCTCAAGAGTCTTCAGGCCCCTGCCGCGATGCACTTGTCACGCTCAGTGATTCTCACGCGGCATCTGCCCTGGGCCCTCTGCTCGCATGATATTGACATCATATTTTGTGCTCTAGGGACCATGAGCCCACTACAAAAAGACGTCGGCTTTGGAACCTGCCTGAATCAGACTGTATCGCTTGCCCAGCTGGGCATCAGACAAAACCCATGGGTTCTTTCCGCAAGCTCCGGAGCTTACGCGGTATCCGTTTTGGTCACATGAGCGTGGCTCAATCCCCAGTTTGTCGCCGGGGCGCCCCCCAGCCCGTTACAAGCCCTCGTCGCGCCAGCTTTGTTTCAAGCTCTTGTCGCACGGCAAGAATCAAGTGAGCCACCTCCCCGTTAGGAATATCATGTAGCCTTGTCGTGCAAGCCCTTGTCGCGCAAACCTTGTCGCACAAACCTTGTCGCAAAAACCAGCATACCAGCCTTGGTACACACGTCCTGGTTGGCTTTAAAGGACTCTGATCGAACCAGACAACCTTCATTGGGCTCCATGAGGCTTGTAGAGGTTCTGCAAGGGTCTCCTCAAGCACTGAGGTTTCCCAAAAACATGGGATATCTGCACCTCTTTGTGTGTACACCCAACACGTGTCATGGCCGAGACTGACCTGAACGCAGCCTGATGCTCCCAGCTGCCATCCGCTGTTGCCTATTTCTACTCATGCCCGGACATTAGCGTAGAGCCCTTTCAGGGAAACACGGGGCTGTCCAGCGCCATTGCTGCATCCCTGGAGTGGCCACAAAGCAAAACGGATGCCCTTTTGCTGCTGTTTGAGGCCGGCTATGTTACACTGATGTTGGGCTCATCTTGTAGGCGCTGCACACACAAAAGAGAAGATGGGCAGGAGAGAAACCCCAACGGTCGACGCCGGTGGCTGTGAAGGCTGTCTCACGCTGCGGGCCCGCACCCCTGCAACGAGCGACGGTCCCTTTGGCACTGTACACTACATGGGCGTGTGCTGTCGTGTAGTGAGGGGTCCCTCTGCCTCTTGCTGGGGCGGTCCGAACCCCTTAACAAGCGACGGAAGAAGGCCACCTTATCCCTGCCCATGCACCCGGACTCCGCACCAAAAAGGCCCAACAACAAACTTCTTATGGAAGAAGAGACAAATCAATGCACAAGAAAGGTAAAAAGGGTGCACTCAGGAACCCGGATCAATACCGTGTTTAGACGTCCATCTGGCAAAGCTTTTTGATCCCCTCATGTGGGACATTGGTCCAGGGACATTTCCCTTCAAGCCCGAACCGATCTCAGAACGAGTAGCACCTCAACTTAACTTCTTCTCTACGTCGCGCTGTGGCAGACGCACTGCAGTGGCGGCATGTGATGGGACGAACAAAGTCAAGCGCCAGACTTGAAATCCGGCATGCAGGGGAAAGGCTCGCGAGGTTGGAGGCAGCATCCAACATCTACCAACCTTTCTTGGTCCCCGTAGCAGCAAGCAAAGCCCAGTCCTCGCCGCAAGAACTGCACGCCTACGGTAGGCAATCTCGCACCACTTTCGGCTAAAAGTGGCCTTGGCCCACACAAGCCACGAAACTCTCAGCTCGATGCATCTGTGTACAGGCTACCGAATCAACATTGCCTGCGCGCACAAGCCGAATGCTGAACTGCGCAGCCTCATCGCCTGTCCAGTGCCAAGAAGTGCCGAAGCCCACGCCGATAGGGGCATTTTGCAAAGCTCGGAGTTCTCAACATTCGAAACGGTTTCGGGATACTTGGAGCTGCTTCGGGGATGCCTGGTAACTCACAAGAGTACCCTAACCTCTCTCGGTACTCACATGCACACAAACAAGCAACTGGGCCTTCCAAGGCCCATCTCTTGGGTAATGCACAGGTCCTTGGCAGCTGAGAACCGGGAAGCTTTGAGCAACAAGGGCGCATGCGATGGGCGTAGACAAAGCGCAAACGATATCTCGACTTTTCCCCCTTTGGAGCCGTCCCACCTTGTGCCTGTATGCATGTCCGAAACGAGACTCGTCCTCCAACGGCGCTCTTTTGCATGCCCTTTGTAACCAGTCGTTTTGTGGCGGGGGGCCACGTCCTCACACATCCTCTACCCGTAGATGAATGCCAGCTAGGAGCAAGATCGCAAGGCCACTACTCGCGACGCACTTGATCTGTCAGTACTACGCCTTCCCAAGTCTGACAGGGCCCCTCGAGCAAAGAGAGCAGGCAGGTAGGAGTGCAGGAGGCCAACTCCTACTTCTTCCTCGCAAAAGAAAACAGACTCGCGCCTTGTTGCATCCAGGCTTGGGTGAGCATGCCGGGAAAGAGCACATGCTGCCCAAGTTCAGTCTCGCGCCTACTTGCGAGGACGGCGCAGGGGTTCGCGCGCGTACACGTGGCAAGAAACAAAGGCGCAAGTGGCGATTGAAGCCAAAGGAGGCAATGCCAAAGCTAGCTTGCATACACTAAGAGGAAAGTCCAGGTTACCTGCCCACAACCTCAAGACAGAAAGCGTTGGAGTCCTTCCTTCCCTTTGCCATAGCCGCTTTGTGAGTAACTTTTGCGAGCCCAAAGAAGCTATGGGGATGGTACTGCGGGTTCCGGTAGCCTGAAGCGCCAGGCACAGTCTCTCCAGAACATAAACGCATGTGACAGTGCAAGTGCGATGTTCGCTGACCCCTTACTACAACAGTGGGACATCTGCAGCAAGCATCATCGCAGCCTTCCTTGAAGCTTTGTGGGTCTTGGTGACGCCATGGACTCCAGCCTGATCACGGAGGGGTGCTGGCAAAGCATGTGCCAATTGTGCGCTTGCAGTTTGCTGATGTCTGGTTCAAACTGGGGAACCAGAAGAAGAAACAGCTTGCCCAAGCCCACAACTCAAGGTGCGGAATGCATAAAGACAGCACAGCCGATGACAAAGAGCGCGCATATGCAACATCATGCAACGTGAACATTGATTGCCATTCTGAGCAACCCGTCATCTCTGCGATAGTGTATCCATGCCCATCCTTATGGCCCAGTTCTGATGCCTCACAGGCATCCAAAAGCAAACATGCCTGCCTTCCTTCCATCTGGGTGCTGTTAGGACCGTCTGTGTCCGCCAAGGTTTAAGGCGCCAAGACGAAGCACAGGAGGCCCCTGTGCACTTGCACGCCGGGGTCGAGGCATCTTTCTGGTCATCCTGACCACCATCGCTGTGAGCATGGCAGGCGTGCGGCCTGTGGATCGCAATCGGAACGTCGGACTGGCAACCATTCCGGATAGCTGATCCTCCATCATCTACCATGAACACTACTTGTGGCCAGGGCGACGTTCTAAAACTGGAGAGGCTTTGAGGGCCCTGCAGTCTCTTGTCGTGGCACCAGGCGTCCCCCAAGCATACGGCATAGAACCGCGACGCAAGCTGGCGTCATGTTTCGCTTACAGTTTCGCTGTCTACACACAAGGGGGGCATGGGACATTGTTGCGCGGGATCAGTTTCCGGTTGTTTGATCGCGAACGTTTTTGGTGAATGTGCTATTATTGTTTTTCCAAGAACGATGTGAGAGAAAGCTGGGTCTGAAACTCTACAGTGCCTCTCCACAGTTGTCTACAGCACCAAGGCAGAACCCCTACCCAATCCGAACCTCCGACCCAGAGAATCACATGCACCGTACACGAGCACTTTGGGACTGACGAAGCTGACTGTACAAACCACTGTCAACACTCCCTCCTGGAGCTCTGCAGTCGGTCACCACCGGCATCTTCCGAGACGATCTTTTGAAGAGACTTTTCAGGACATGTTGGTCTGCAGCACCTGCATATGCGTCGCTAGTGCTTTCGACTGCGCCCAAGGCTCTGGTTGCAGGAGTGTCGCACGGCTGCCGAAGCGAAGCCTTGCACTGGAGATGGGAGCCATCATGCAGTACCCATTCGCAAGGTCTCGACAACACCGCTCCCTAACAAGCTTGCGCAAAGCTTGCAGCCGCCCTTGCGCGAACTTGGGCGCGCTCGAAATGTGCACGGTATTAAACAACCGAATTTTCTCTAATCGCCCTCAGCATCATGCAACAAGAGCCTGCCAGAAAGAACAACCCTCACCCGGCTTCGCTGCGTTGCCTGGCCGTGTGGAAGGGCGAGGTACTTGGCCAAGCCGATATTGTTCTGCAGTCTGTACCAGGTCAAGAATTGCGACTCGCCCTCGTACCTCTCGTACCGGCAAACGAGGTCAGAAGTCTTGGAAGAAGCCGTCGTCCTGAACGGCGCAGTCCTACATTCGTTGAGACCTTCGTGGAGGGAACTGTCTGAGCCTGGCACATGACTACTACATTCTGAGCATGAGCAAGGTCCACAAGTTTGGATTTTGCGTCTGCATTCGCACGAAATTCAAAGTGTCGCTGAGGAGCATCACCTTTGTTCCATAATTTAGGCTTCCTCAACATGTCACTCCTGTTCTTGTTATGCCGGGCTGGGGGTCGTGGCGCTAATCTTCTTACACCTGGAAACCGTACAATGCTCAATCGGGCCTATGCCGCCGCACATGCGGCAGGGCCCGGGGCAAGGGAGGATCTGTGCAACTAAGGCCTCCCAACCACACAGAGGCCCTCAATTCTGACTCTGTGGGTTGTAGCTGGTGTGGCTTGACGAGCACAGCCACAGGTTCTGGAACAGGAAACCTCGATCACTCATCCCCAGCGAGTTAGGACTAGAGGGGCTGGAAATTGGAGCTGCCAATGCCTGACGTCCCTGGGAGCTGTCATAGCCAGGAAGCCCGCCATCATGTACAGACAACTTCGCCACCGTCAGGATGCACAGGCAAAGGAAGGAAAATGGATTTCCATGAGGGTCCTCTCAGGTCAACCGGCCAAACTAACCAATAAACGGTG